AGAACAAAAACTTGAAAATACCCTAGTGCAAACTACGATAATCACATGAAGGAATGATGTGATGGTGGTGGAGCAGAAGTAGCATGCTGTGATTGTCCAGCTTGAAAAGGTGCATTACTTGCTGAGACAGCATAGCCTGGTGCCACCGGTTGTTGAATTTGAGGATTATATCCGGATTGAGGGTATAAACCCATTACCGGTTGCTGCGAATATATGCCTTCAAAATAAAACAGTTGCACCACATTTGACTAGTCATCAAGCGCTATGAAAAATACTAAAAATCAGCAGCAGCAATTTATTGAGGAGAATGAAAATGAGACTAACCCCCATTACACTTCGACAAAAAATTCAATTACTTCAACAGTTTTAGCTTCATTTCCTTCTAATACACACGAACGTAAGACAAAAAAAAGTATACAAATCTTTGGATTCCATCAGAGAATTGACTCTTGATTCTTAACTCCATAATTGTGGGAAACAAATCACAGACAATTAACTGCGAAACCTGGCTGTGAGGGGTAAACATTCACTGATGGCCACTGCTGAGGTGGAGGAGCACCGAACTGAGGATATACCAAACTATGAGGCGCTGTAGCAGGTCTTACTCCTCCTTGATTGTTCCACTGCACTGGCTTTCTAAACAATACTCATCTGACTACAATCATGAACTGATCTACAGAAATTAAACGCACTATCAGTTCAGCTAACAACGAAGTATTCTCTTATAAAAGCATTTTTTCTCATTCAAAGTATATGTCGGCGATGAAAATCAGCGAAGCATCCATCCAGCAGTCACGATCAGACAATATTAAACAGTTGTTTCTCCATTTCGAAGAAATAACCAAAAACGTGCCACTGTAAAAATCACCCTTGACTAGCTGCTGTTTTCGTGCCGACAGAAAGATTGTCAGCCAGAGACGATAAAGCCGTGTCCAAGTCAGCAGCAGGAAACTTTCCAACTTCAGGAGAATGAGCTTGCTGAGCTCCATATGCATTCAAATTCGTCGTACCTGGAACGGAATAAACCAGAATTCTATTATTTGCATGAATCGGAATACTAACAAAACATACCAGTTGAAAGTACGCTTGAAATCAAAAAAGTAAAATGCCAATATTATCATAAATTATAACCA